ACTGAATTTCCACTGATTTTCTAGCAAATGTTGGCTGTGGAATCCATCCCATCATGGGCCCCAACCAGGCAAATTAATTCAAATGGATTTCCCAATTCAGGGAAATGCAAAAGTCCACAACCACCAGGGAGGAGAGATTCACTGGAATCCACCTCCAGTTTGGGCACTTCAGGACTGCAAGTATCAATTTAAGTCTGCGGACTCGTTAACTTGGTATTTTTTTGTGTTATTTTATTGTATTTTAATTAAAAAAAAAACCAAACAGATTTCTCTGCACTATTTTCAAGGATGAACAAACTGCTATGTGTGAGAATGCAATGGAAGACTGGTATTAGAAACATTGTTTTGCCCTACGATTTGAAAAGAATAGCCATTCCAATCACATCTAGCTTTTAAAAATGGTGTGTGTGTATGTGTGTGTGTGTGTGCACGCACAAGAAGGAAATCGTTGTATGGAACTGTTAAAAAGCCTGATTTTGAATCCCCCCCCCACTTTCTCATTACAAAACAGCAATGCCCTCCCCACAACAGAAGCAATCCCTGCAAATAAGGAATTCTATCTTGCTTTCGGGCCTCAGTGAAAACCAGGGTCTTCAAAAGCAAATTTCTCTTGTCGCTGGAGTTGTCTGTAAAAGTTTCTAACAGAGCAAAAGCAGAGCTGCTGCGGAGAGAAGCAACGGAACCAAGGGAGACGAGGTCGCCGGACTTCCCAAGATTGCTGCAAGCGCCCAAAAATTATTCCCAGGAGGGGCGGAATTTTTAATTGAAAACAACAACAACAACAACAATGTTGGTGCATGTGGCAGAGTGGATGTTTCCAGGGGGATCCAAAGTGACATGTTTATGACAACAGACACAGGAAAGGAACAAAGGAAGAAGGGTTGGGGGAAAGAGAGAGAGAGAGAGAGAGAGAGAAAGAGAGAGAGAGAAATAGATAAAAGAAAAAAATAGGTCATAAATGTAGAAAAAACAATAAGAATTTTAAAAGGTTGCTTTAACTTAGTATAAATTAAAATATCCAAAAGGTTAGAGGAACAGAGCGGTGGCAGCGGCGGCGGCAGCAGCAGTAATGCAGAGGGTAGGCGTGGCAGCTGGCGGAGGCAGCAGCAAGAGGGAGACATCTGGGGAGGGCAGGATTAGCGAGCCAAGGACACCGGAATGAGCAACGCGAGGGTCGAGCACTCAGAATGGGGGGGTGGGGCAAGGCACATGGGAATGAACTGGTGGCGTTTGACAATGGCAGTTCTCGATAAAAGATGGGAATCTTCTGGCAAAGAAACAGGGAGGCCAGCCCCCACCCGGTCCCCAAACCTAGACAAATTCGCCTGGACTTGCGGATGGTCTTCCAACCCCGCCCTGTTATCAGCCTTTGGAGGCAACCCCCTGGGAACGTCTCCCACTGATCAACTCAAGACATCCAAAAAACCTGGAGGTGAAAGTCAAGAACCCCTTGGGAGGCCCCACCTCACAGTTTGCAGCCCCCAGTTAGACATTTCCAACAGTGTAGACTTTGCTATGTAAGCATACATCCTGCCGCTGACTGTATTTCATAAAGGCACGAGGGTAGCAGGGACCACCGGGCTGGAGATGGATGCCATTGAGCGAAACAAGTTCAGGAGACTGCAGCAAGACAAAAAGCTTCCCGCCTCCCACTTAGTTTGGGTGAAATTCCTTCCACTCCTGTCCTGAGACAGCTGTCCTTCAGCCTCCCTCGCTGACACCTCTCAATCTCAACTCCAATCAGTGTTTCTTCCTTCTCCCATTCCAGTTCCCACATTTCCCATCTTATGCCTGCAACAGCACTAACCCTCTATTCAGTTTCAGAGGGTAGCCATACTAGTTTGCAGTAGGATAACTGGATTCAAGCCCAGTAGCACCTTGGAAACCAACAAGATTTTTGGGGTTCGAGGTTTCGAGAATTAAAGCTCTGACAAAAATATCTGGTGAAGGAAACACTGATTCTCAAAAGCTTATACTCTGAAAACCTTGTTAGTCTCCGAAGGACTACTGGATTCAAATCCAGTTGTACCCCTTAATTCAGATTCTTCCCCTCTTCCTTCAGATCCCTAAATGACAGCCAACTCCCGTCCGGATAATCCAGTCTCCCTTCCTTTGTCTCTGCCCTGTAGGTACTGGATTCTCCCATTCCATCCTCCTCCTCAGTGTCAATCCCTCACATCCCAATCCTAGACAACTAGTTCTCTGGACAAGGACCAGTCCTTCTAAGCATACATATACATATAGGTAAAGGTAAAGGTTCCCTTGCTCGAAAGCCAGTCGAATCCGACTCTAGGGTTGCGGTGCTCATCTCCGTTTCAAAGCCAAAGAGCCAGCGCTGTCCGAAGACGTTTCCGTGGTCATGTGGCCGACATGACTAAACACCAAGGCGCATGGAATGCTGTTACCTTCCCACCGAAGTGGTACCTATTTATCTACTTGCAGCAATGTCTTGCTTTCGAACTGCTAGGTTGGCAGGAGCTGGAACTAGAGATGGGAGCTCACTCCATCATGCAGCACACTCGGGTCTCGAACTGCTGAACTACTGACCTTCCACAGCCTGCAGTTCAGCGTCTTAACTACTTGAGCCACCGCAGCTCCTATAGACCTTTATTGGCATAACAATTCTAAGCTCTTCAAAGCACCTTGCCCTCCACCTTGATCTAAATAAATTTGAAATGGCAGCAGCGGTTTCACCACTCCTTCGAAAAGCACCGTATCCACCCGCCCCTTCCACTGATGTGTATCTCCCCCTTGACGGCTTCTTATGCCATTCTTACGCTAACTTCCACAACTCTGACTTCCCTGTATCAAATTTCACTGTCAGAGCTTCCTTTCTAACCAAGTATGATACCCCGAGTCCTGCCTTTGTGTCCTACAAGTGAAATGAAAATTTCACACTTTTTCGTACATTTGCCGAAATTCTCAAGCACGAAATCCCTGTGAATTTCAGTCTACTTTTTCAAATTTCGCTTTTGAAATATAACTTTCAGGGTCGCTCCAGTTTAAATCCTGAAACTGAAAGGCATTTAGGGCAAGCCGAAGCCTGCCGAATTGTCAGAGATCTCTCAGTAACGTTTTCCCCTGGAACCATGAAATCTCACAATAATTGGAAGGTTGGAGCAAAGGGCAGAGTGGAAATGGTGGTCCAATTAGGGTGATTTACATTCAATTTTCTTGCAAATGATATATGTGTCCCCACCACCAATTCATTTACGCTCTAACTAGATCCCCCCCCCCAAATAGATGAGGGTGGGGAACATTAGAGCTTTGGGCACTGAATAATGGAACACCCTAAAGCAGCTTAGAAATGTTTAAAGCAAGTACCAAAGAAGCATCAGTTGTTTTAATGATATGTTACCGAACGTCCCTGCTTAGTTAGATGAATTTTTAGTTGGCAAACTGCATTGCAGCCCATCTGTGAGTAAGGGAGAAAGAACAGGGACGTAGGGACCACTGCTGAGCGTTACGCCCTGAGCACTCATAGCACCAGGCTATATCCATAATCCTTCAACCTACTTCTAAGTTTTTGTACTGGGCGGTCTCAATACCTCCTGGCTCCTTTTTCTGATAAAAACAAAAGAAAACACATTGGGCTCAATATGAATTTGTGCTTGATTTGTGCAGCATGTACGCACCATGAGATTCAGCCTTCCTTAGCACACTGTGTAAGCTAGCTTGAATTCCGAATGTTACTTCGCTTTTGTGCTGAGAACGGACACCTGTGGTTATTCGATTCATGGGGATAGCGTCAGAGGGTAGCCGTGTTAGTCTGCGGGAGAGCAGCTAGGTTTGACAAAGAGCTTTGACTCTGAAAGCTCACACCCCCGAAAATCTTGTTGGTCTTTAACCTAACCTGGACTTGAACTTAAAGTCATGAAGAGTCTGCGTCCTGTCGTCTGTGCTTGAACCTGCAGCTCACCACACCACCTTCCAAAAGCACAAAAGTATGACACACAAAAGTATGTCGGGCCATGGCTCGGAGGCTCTTGACGGCTGCTCTGCCATGGATTACATGCGCCACCTTTCCCCTGAAACAGGCCATGCTAAAATGGCTCCACTGAGACAATTATTCCGAAAATACCTAGAGTGCTAAACAGATGAACAATCAGCTTTTCTACACTAAAGTGTCATTTCTATTGCTTACTTAACAGGGTGTTCAGTGTGGGAACTGAAAAGGAACATTCGGCGGTTGCCAAGCTACTAACGTCTCCTACAGACATCTGGTGGATCATTAGTTAGATACCTCACGATAGAACGATAGATCTGAATACTGTCAACCATTCATGTTTACAGAGAGATGGCACCACAGCGCTGGAGCTCTTCTCCACTTACTCAGTCTGGTGTGGTGAAACCAAGATAACGCAGCCATACAAAATGCAGTCCTAGACTGTCCTGGTGAAATCGAGCCTACGAAATGCAGGCTCTGATGCTGTGTGTCCTAATGGCTATAGAAAAGGAATCATTTAACATTAAAGACCACCAGCAAAAGCCAGTGGGAGCCATGGAGGAATTCGCACTTCTGAAACATCTCCTCTATTTAAGTTCCACGCCACAGAGGTTCTCCCACGAAACACAAACGCCACAGAACCTTCCTAACCACAGCCAGTCATCTCTTTCTACTCCTTTACAGTACTGGCTGTCAACGGGTTGCGACGGATTTCTCCTTTGGCCACAACTGACCGGTTTGAACCATTTCACAAAGCGTCACAAAGATGAACTCTTTCCGGGATTCTGCAGGGGGGGGCGGGGCTGGAGCATCAGATGGACAATACATACCGCGAGTGTCGTCGACCAACCACATTCGGTATGTACAAGGCCAGGAAATTAGGCTCGGCATGGGTAACCGGTTATGAGGATGGCAGTAAGCAAGCAAGTCGCTGAGGGGTTTGGTGTGTGTGTGTGTGTGTGTGTGTTTTTAAACTCAAGCACATTAAGGGATGTGGTGCCATTGCATTAACTTTAAGCAGAAACTGATGGTAGGAAGCTGGACGCTGCCGTACCTGGCATGATGGTTGGCTGAGCGGAAGTCCTGAAGGCGTAATGGGCGGGCTTCGACTTCCCTTGCTGGTTCTCTGCAATCACAACGACCTCGTATTCCGAGTTCCAGTCGAGAGACTTCAGCATGACGTGGTCGCTGCGAGAGGGGAGTCTGATCTCAGGCTTCCAGTCCGAGGAGTGCTTCTGCAGGAAGAGGGAGGGGAGGAAGAAGAGAAGACAACGGAAGGCAGCTTAGTGGGGAACCATCGTGGCCAACCGGGCTATGTGTGCCCAAAGGGCAAGGGCAGAGAAGATGTGTCTTAGCACAGGAAGAGCCAACTAATTGATGCAGCGGCCAAATCGCTCACTCACAACTTTAATGCCAGCAGCTCACAAAATAGAACTTTTGCTCACAAGACTCCAGAGCTTAGAGGGAGCATCGGTCCCAAGTCACTCTCGTGACGGACAAGCTGAAATGTCTCATTCTCGATTCCCCATTAGAAGCCGTCGAGAGAAGTACCCTGTTTCCCACAAAATACGTCCAAAGGCCAGGGCCTGTTCAGAAGTGGCCACACCCCTATCCAAGCCCAACAAGGCACGCTCACAGAGCTACTGGGCTTCCCTAACCATTTCACATTCAGAGACAGCCATCAGTTACAGCTGAGTTACGCTTGGAAACCCTCTCCAGTTTCTCCCTAAAAAGGTAAAGGTTCCCTTGCTCGAAAGCCAGTCGAATCCGACTCTAGGGTTGCGGTGCTCATCTCCGTTTCCAAGCCGAAGAGCCAGCGCTGTCCGAAGACATTTCTGTGGTCATGTGGCCGGCATGACTAAACACCACGGCGCACGGAACGCTGTTCCCTTCCCACCGAAGTGGTACCTATTTATCTACTTGCAATTTCTTGCTTTCGAACTGCTAGGTTGGCAGGAGCTGGAACTAGAGACGGGAGCTCACTCCGTCATGCGGCACCCGGGTCTTGAACTGCTGAACTACCGACCTTTCACAGCCTGCAGTTCAGCGTCTTAACCACTTGAGCCACCACAGCTCCAGTTTCTCCCTGGAGGTGCTTAAAAAAGACAACCCCGCAGTCTTTGGAAGAGTTAATAGCGCCATCAGAACTGAACATAAATAGATACACGGAGAGCTTTGGAAGCCCAACAATCATGGTGAGTGATTATATTTCAGGGGAGGGGGAGCAGCAATCAAAGAAGTGCCTCCCGGTGACCTTTGAAATGCTGCCGAGAAAGACGGGGGGCCACGCGTGCGCTCTGACAGGCATGCCGAGGATGTCGGTGCAGACATTTCTTGGCACAGAGGCAAAGCAGAACGGCAGAACCTTGTCAGAGAGAAGCCGATCCCAACTGTTCCAAAGGTGCGAAAGGTCAGGACAGACAGACACCAGCCTGGTCGAGCTGAACTTACGACTCTGTATTTGATGAGATAATGCCGGATGGGGGATCCTCCGTCATCTTGCTTGATAAGGTTCACTTTGATGGAGTTCCCGTCTTCTCCCATCTGCCCTTCCAACTTGGGCGCACTGGGTTCCCCTGCAAGAACAATGCCGTTCACATTTAGGGTTTAGGCCATGTGCTCAGTGATAAATCATTAGCCAGCAGAATGGATGGATGAAACAATAAACGAGAACCCAGAATCATCATCAAACCTGAACAGCTCTAGAATGCTGGGGTACATGTCACATGTCCCTCTAGGCAAGATCTTCCGACCCACATGGTTAAGCAGAAAGCTTATGTGTTTTCAAGACCGCCCGCTAAGATGTTTTGGGAATACCTCAATGGGAACCAACAGATTCCAACTATGGGGTCGTATCCAGATCGAGTTTTCCGCTAAAGGAAAGCAGAACTTCCCTGAATCCCCCCTCCCAGAGCAGCCCACTAATCTCCGGGGGAACAGAGGACCCCCAACAATGGTTTGAGGGGCAAATTAGGGCTCTGCAGCAAAAAGGGAAAATCAGCCAAAGTTACACCTCCCTTTTCCCGTTAGTGGAAAATGCAGTCTTGATACAACCCACAAGGCTAGATCCTGGATTCTTTTGATCTACAACTGTCCCAAGCTGTCACAGAACCTGCTTTTTGAAAATCATGGTAGCCACCAGAGGTGCATTATTTGGCCGTGCAGTTGGGGCAGACTGATTTCTGTAAGCGTCTTTAGGAGAAGTCCTTTCACCACTCCCCGCCTCCCTGTTGGACGCTCAGCTCGGCTGCTGAAAACTCTGGACAGCCTTGGTTCCTGCCGCTGTTCTCCATGGAAAGGTTTCCCCAGTTAGTCTAGCCCCAAAAGCCAAGTAACAAAGCCTGTTCTCATCGGAACTCGATTTTTGCTTGTCCTTTCCTACGATCACACCCTGAATTACAGACTTCCTGCCCTTTGGTGGCTGCCCCCCCCCCCATGGCTTTGCCTTAGGAATGGAGTTACCCGCCCAAGCCACAGCCTCTGAGTATGTCTCAAGCAGTGTTCCCTCTAAGCTGAGTTAGTGTGAGCCAGCTCACAGTTTTTTAGTTTCCGGCTCACACATTTTCGTCTCCGCTCAGGAAGGAGGGCTCCAGAGCAAACTAATTTATGCAGTAGCCAAGTCGCTCGCTCACAGCTTTAATGCCAGGAGCTCACAAAGTGGAATTTTCGCTCACAAGACTCCAACAGCTTAGAGGGAGCATTGGTCTCAAGTTGCTCGTTTGTCCTGTTCCCAACAGTCTGTATTCCCTGTCCTCATCATGGTGGCTTCTTCTTGCAGCTCTATAGTATTGTCTCATCTACACAATCACAAATCAATAAAGAACCCACACCTGGGCTGTTTCCACACGGACGTTTTGCTTCACCTTGGTTTTGGAGATCACGTCATTCTGTTTTGCTGAGATCTTTCCCAAATGTGGTTTCGTATGAACTTTCTAAAGTACTTTTGGACTGGAAGGTTTTTTGCAAGTCCTGACCACGTTGCCACCATTTCCCCTTGTTTCAGCCCCCGCCGTCACCATTCCAACCCTCCCCAAGGGCCTTTCAATAGTAGTAGTGCTATAGCACAATACCCATTGAAACAATGTACTCGTTCCCAGTTTTCATTTCTTTAAAAATCTCTAGCCGTTTTCGTCAGGACTAGATGGCAGGCCTAAACAGAAATAAAGCCATTACAGGCTCCAGGATGGGGGATCCGAAATCAAGGCCTGAAACCTGAGACGTTTGAAAACCCCTATGTGAAATCTTTCTGTCTCATTGTGAAAGGTTACCATTTTCCTTGCGGCGTGATAAGGCAAAGCGTGCAGGCTGTACGTTTTCCCTTATAGGTCCTCAAAGAAAAGGGCTACAGGTTTTCTTTCTTTTTTAAATAAAAGAACGCAGAGGAGTGGTCACCTGTAACCTAGGGAAGAGAGCATAAGGGGTCAGAGAGACTGCTCTAGGTCTTTACAAGACTCCAAGAAAAAAGAACAGTTCACCAATCCCCCGAAGGGGCGGGGGAGACGTTTCATCAATGTAGCCCCCCCTTTAGGAAGATATCCAGCCTATAATATCGAGTAATCCTTCTTCTGGAGGTGGAAGAAGAGATGGGGGGCTTCTTCCTGAAAAGTTTTCAAGAGGAAGGCACTAGTTAGGGATTGCTGGGGTATCCTTGGAGAGGGAGGCTGGCTCCCCCGCCTGACCTCCTGTTCCTCTCCAAAGCAAAAGGGGGATCCTTGAGATACTGATAGCCTCCAAAAGGCACAGAGGGAAGTCATAACCCCAAGGGAAACAAAGGTCCCAAGGGACAGGGTAGAATCATCAAACCGGGAGAGGGGGCATCACGCCAAAAACACGGGAGTAGCACCTGCTCGACCCTGGAGTTAACATCTAAGCTTCACCTAAGATAAATCATCAGGTGCTAATCTGGACGGTGTTCCTCCTCAGGTGAGGTATGTGAAGCATACAAGCACGGACGGCTTCAAAAGGGAATTAGATAAGCATATGGAGCAGAGGTCCATCAGTGGCTATTAGCCACAAGGTATAGATAGGGACTCTGGGGCAAGCGATGCTCTGTCTTCTTGGTGCTTGGGGGGGGGGGCAACAGTGGGAGAGCTTCTGGTGTCCTGGCCCCACTGGTGGACCTCCTGATGGCCCCTGGTCTTTTTGGCCACTGTGCGACACAGAATGTTGGACTGGATGGGCCATTGGCCTGATCCAACATTGGCTTCTCTTATGTTCTTATAGGAACTCTCGGTCTGGGGCAAGGAATACTCCGTATTCTTGGTGCTTGGGGGGGGGGGCAACAGTGGGAGGGCTTCTGGTGTCCTGGCCCCACTGGTGGCACCTGGTCTTTTTGGCCACTGTGTGACACAGAGTGTTGGGCTGGATGGGCCATTGGCCTGATCCAACATTGGATTCTCTTATGTTCTTATATGTAGCAGAGCTCCATCAGTGGCTATTAGCCACAAGGTATAGATAGGAACTCTCAGTCTGGGGCAAGTGATGCTCTGTGTTCTTGGAGGGGGGGGCAACAATGGGAGGGCTTCTAGTGCCCACTGGTGGACCTCCTGATGGCACCTGGTCTTTTTGGCCGCTATGTGACACAGAGTGTTGGACTGGATGGGCCATTGGCCTGATCCAACATTGGCTTCTCTTATGTTCTTATAGGAACTCTCAGTCTGGGGCAAGGGATGCTTTGTATTCTTGGAGCAGAGGTCCATCAGTGGCTATTAGCCACAAGATATAGATAGGGGCTCTGGGGCAAGGGATGCTCTGTCTTCTTGGTGCTTGGGGGGGGGTCAACAGTGGGAGGGCTTCTAATGCCCTGGCCCCACTGGTGGACCTCCTGATGGCCCCTGGTATTTTTGGCCACTGTGTGACACAGAGTACTGGACTGGATGGGCCTTTGGCCTGATCCAACATTGGCGTCTCTTATGTTCTTATGTGACAATTCTCAAGACAAGCCCAAGAGTTCTGGCAGATAATTAAAAAAAAATCCCCAGCCGACTCAGCAGCACATCCTCCGCCTTTCCCGATGAAAGCCTTTGCTCCAGAGGGCAGCCATATTGTTCTGCAGGAGAAGAGCTGGATCAGAGTCCAGTAGCACCTTGGAGAGCAGCAAGATTTTGGGGGGCAGGAGCCTTAAAGAGCCAAAGATCTCTTTGCCAGATTTATGCTCCATCACGTCAGTCTGTTGTCCTCCGAGAATATTAACGGATGAACTAGTCTTTCCAAAGAGCCGCTCGTTTGCCCTGACTCATCTTCCGTTTTTAGGGACGTGAAAACACAACTGTTTCTTCTCATCCCGGGCTGGCATCTGTACTTCCAGATTATGCTGGTGGGCTGCAGAAGCCACAACAGAGGCAGACAGCACTTTGCCCCCGACATGTGCTGACTGCTGTCTTTTCCTTTCCTCTCACTCCTGCTTTGGAGTTTTGCCACTGAAGCAACAGCGGATCGCCGCATTCCTAAATGCCAACGAAATGCCAACCCCGTCCCCCAGCTCTGGTGACTTCTGGCACCCGCTGGAATGGCTGACGGCTCACCCAGCACCGCCTTCCGGCCTCATCTTCCCTGGCTCCCAATCCCCGCCATGTGTCACTCTGACAGTGCCGTGGGGGAAAAGGTGGAATTGGTAACTGTCAAAGACTCCCCCGCATGCCACCTTTTCTGTAGGAATGGATTTATGCCCTCCCTTCTCTTTGATGTGCTTTTGAAGGGAAACTGTTCTGCTGAGAATTTCAGCCCCTGTCAGTCACCGAGTGAGCAATGCCAGTAAGGGGGAGGGGAAAAGTGTGTGAGAATGGGCAGTCTGCTTTTGCGAATATTAGTTAGTCATCACAAATCATTTGCCCCACACCATCTTGGCTGGCGTCTCCATTGATAGACTGTGTGCATTCTCACACACAGGAAAGGCTGAAGAGTTTGGGACTTAAATGAGAAGACTGGGGGAGGGGCATGAGAAAGATTTGTAAAATTATGCACAGGAGGGAGGGAGGTGACCAAAAATAATGGTTTTCTCCCCCTACCAAAACACTAGAACTCAAGGGCATTCAATGAAGCTGATGGGGAACAGATTCAGGACTGACAAAAGGAAGTATTTCTTAACACAACGAGTGATTAAAATTTGGAATTTGCTGTCAGAGGAGGTAGTGATGGTCATAGACACAGACAAGCTTTAGAGGAGGATTAGACAGATTCAAGGAAGACAGGTCTATCAGTGGCTACTAACCAGGGTGACTAAAGGGAGCCTCCACATTCAGAGACAGTCAAACTCTGAATCCCGGTGCTAGGAGGTAACATCAGGAGAAGGCCTAGGTCTCTATGCCTTGTTGTTGAACCTCCAGAGGAACTGGTTGGCCCCTGTGTGAGACAGGATGCTGGACTAGATAGACCACTGGTCTGATACAGCAGGGCTCTTCTGAGGTTCTTAGGAAAGCCTCGGCCTCTCTGCCCTGTTGTTGGCCCTCCAGAGGAACCAGTTGGCCAGTGTGAGACAGGATGCCGGACTTCATGGACCACTGGTCTGATCCAGCAGGGCTCTTCTGAGGTTCTTAGGAAGGCCTCGGCCTCTCTACTCTGTTGTTGGCCCTCCAGA